TTTTTTTTTCTCTCTCTCTCTCTCTCTCTCTCTCTCTCTCTCTCTCTCTCTCTCTTGCCAAAGTAAATGCCATTTCTGTGCAGTCTTAACAATTCGTCTGGGCTCCAATCTGTTTGAGCCGGGTGCATTGCATTTCGGCATTGTTTGCTTTAGCCTTCGCTTTTGCTTTTTGGCAGCGTTAACAGCCTTAACTTTACTCGGAACATAGCTGGACATAAAGCGAATGTTAATCTCACGCCGTAAGCCCCGAAACGCAATGAACGCAAATGGAAATATGAGCTATGGCTTACTTTGAAGATTTAGCAGTGCGCTTCAATCTATTTTTTTTCGCTTCTGCAGCTTTAGTCATATTTTTAGCACAGCAAATTGAATTTATCCGCGCAACACCTGAATTTCGTGGGACGAATCTCGCGACTGCCGTCAATACGCGTCGCAGCCTAAAAAGGCGCTAAATGAATTTACGAGCAACTAAGCCGATCAAATCTGATTTGCGGCCCTTTTTCATTTCCGCCGAAAACCTCGACGTATGCTCTATGTAAATATATATATATAGATTATTTGCCATGGGCTACCGTATTTCATTTATTTATATATACATATATTTGTTGCCCTCTAGCAATGCTCAGTGAAGCCGTCAGCCGAATCACGTGCTATGATTACATTTTGGTACGTGATTTTTTGGTCATTTTCCTACTTCACTTGGGCCATATATTTTCGCTCGTACTTGTATTTAAAAGACTTGCATTTCCACTCAGGCGAATTTAAGGCTCTGGCTCCCCATATGGAGATTGAGCTAGTGCCTGTTAATTATTGGCTTCGGTATGCGGCGCACATACTGGAATCTGCTGAGCCCCTAATGCAATATTGATGACTTCTCATTAATACCCTTGGCACTGTCCTGCTGAACGATTTCAATATGGGTGGAGTGGCAGAACCTTCTTCAAATGTTATTGAAACGTGATTTTCTTTCTCATTACGAGAGGCGAATCAAAGTACATGCGGCCTGCAATTGAAATCTGGCACATCTTATATAATTTTAATTCGCACTTTTTTGTCATGCAAGGCTCGATCTGGATGTCAGCCGAGGTTGCATTTTAATTTAAAAATTAATAGAAATTAAATGAAAAACCTTTATGTGCATATATTGAAGAAAGAGAGAGAAAAAAAGGAGAAAACATCAAATGATTTACTTTATTTTTGCCGAATGCCTGACGAAAATTCCAATAACAAATCCTTGGGCACGCAATCGTCTGTTGAAATTTGATGAAGCTTGGCAGGGATTTTGGAATTTGTGTAGATAATTGATAAAGTATGGCAGACGGAGTCGCACAGAATACGAGTCACGCACACACCGAGACAGGCCCACGCCCACAGAGCCACACCCACTGAGCATACGGGCCAAAGCTCTCCAAGTACCTCATTATTGCGCTGAGATAAGCAATTTACTTGCCTGATAGATATCCTTATCCGGCTCTTACAGCCAGCGTTCACAGACGACACATACGAGTCTGCTTAGCAGCCACTGTCAGCTAGTCGGTGTCGGAGTTTATTTAGCGGCACATTAAACCGACGCGCCAGTAAAAGTTGAAATGACTTCCTTTACACACACGCACACACGCACACGCACACATGCTCAGTTATGCCCAGACACACCCATACACGCCCAGCTCAGCTCTTAGCAATCAAATTTCAGCTTTCATATTATCTTTAACAATTGTCCTTTGTTGCCAGGCTTTAATTGTGCGCGTACGCACATTCTGCTTATCATTTTCATTTGCCTAATGCCAGGCCACAAAGCCACTATATATACTCATGTATATAGAGTATGTATATATATGTGCATGCCTATGTCTGCCTTATGGCCATGCATTTCAATTGACAGATTCGCCATTAAGGCCAGAATATGGCACAGTTTTTCAATTGCAGCCGAACGGAAGGAAGTCTTAGGGTCTTTTGCCTTTTGTTTTAGCTTGATTTTCCTTTCACTCTGCCTTAAGCTGTTTGCTTGTTTATTATCTAAACTCATTTTATTCTGTATTTTTCTTAGCAACATTTCACTTTGGCTGGGCGAAAATCCTTCCTGGAATACTCTCAGCCTTTTTGACTTTACAGTTTCTCGTTTGCAAAGTGCTCAGTCAAGAAATAAATACATTTATCGACATTTTTCACTCGTTCGCTTTGACTTTATCGCCCCTAAAAGGTTTCCCTTTCATTTTGCTCAGCCATTGCTCAGCTCAAAATGCCTTTGAATTGCGACCAATTTATCATTGCAGCCGGCTGTATTACATATACATATATACATACATATATATATGTATGTATGTATTGTATTTTGTGTTACCCTTAAGCGATTTCTGTGTATTTTTATTTTGGCAGTTTTAATGGTCTCTGGTTACTTGTTTGTCATTTTGATTTATACACTCAGCACCGAGTCTTATACTGGCTGCGCTCAAATGTATGCAACAATTGATTTTGTAGATGCTCTTCTCATTGCAAAGTGAACCCATTCAGGGCACTTCTGAGGCACTTAGAGATTTCCTGTTAGTCTCAAACGAAGTCTCATAGATTTTCGCACAGTTGAATAGCTTTATGAGTATTTTAAGTTAGTTTGAAATCGCATATTTAAATTGAAGGGTATATTGGATGGATTGAACAGGTCGAGTGAGTCTTGAGTGTGATGATGTCTGAGTCTTCGCCTAGTTCTAGTGCGAGTTCATTCAGCTATATGTGGGCTTAGTAGCTAGTTTGGATGAGAATCTACACTCTCGAGAAACCTTCATTATTCCATCATTTATTTGTCTGCCTGAAGCTCGCTCTTCTATTGAAGTTAGCCTTGTCGAGTGTGAGTGTTGAATGTTAATTCAATTGTGAGTTATCATCTAGATGCTTATGAAAGACTTTTTTTTTGAAAATAATTTTAATTAAATTAAATAAATTAATAGGTAAATAAAAGCTGCAGTGCAGCATGTGTATATGCTTTATTCAGAAATAGTACTCAGACGAAGAGCTTCTTAAGCTCAATATATTGAAGCAGCTGAATGAGAGAATAACGCAATGAACCTCTCTATGGAATGACTATGAACTGAAACACTTGACCTGTTGAGCTAATACTAATATCTTCTTTATGTATAGATATACAAACATGAACTGAGAAAAGTTATAAACTCAATGTAAATAACTCAGCTTCTCGTCTGTGCTTCTATAATTCAATTTAAGCAGAGAGCAACAACTGTTTAATAAATCCTTCATCATTTGAACTTGTTGCCTAATTTGCTATCTGTATGATTATACAACAAAGAATTTCTGCCAATTTTTTTTTTATTTGTTTTATTTATTTATTTGCATTTACAATTTCAACAGCAGCTCTAAAATATGCAACAGTTCAGATGGCATTCCGTTCAGCTGTCTGTGAGGCGCGGCCTCAGGGCATGCAGTAAACTTATTTTTGGCCATCCAGTAGCTCACTTTCATGGCAAACCAAGCATGAAAATTTCTTAAAATTTTAATAGCAATAATAACGAATTTCATCAAATTTCGCGCATACTTGCAGGTCCCATTCGCCGGCTGTGGATAATTAAATTTCAGCAGCAAAGCGAGCGCCATGTAACCACGCTGCAATTAAAATTTGCTTATGCCAAAGTGTGCTTAGATTAAGTTACTCCAAACTTCGCCTACCACAATATAAGAGCCGTCGAAGAAAAGAACTCTGCCAGCAAAATGGAGTTTACAAATTTAGCCTGGCAGCGCAGTCGCCTGGACATGGAGCGCTCGGCGTTGAGTGAGGAGCGCCTGTATTACATAGCGGCACAGCAGCCGCTGTTGCGCAACGAGGACGACTATCCGGAGGCTGCGGAGGCGCTGTTGTACAACGGCAGCTCCACGGAGCAGCCGATGCAAGGAGAGGATGCCAGCTATCCATCGACCACGCCCGCCTTCAATGTGACCGTATTGCTGAACTTTAGCTGCACCGACTCCAGCTCCCATTCGGATGACCTGTGGTCCAGCGACTACTTCAAGAGCGTCGTCTACCTGCTCTACATACCCATCTTCATATTCGCCTTGCTCGGCAACGGCATCGTCTGCTACATCGTGCAATCCACGCCGCGCATGCGCACCGTCACCAACTATTTCATCGCCAATCTGGCTCTGGGCGACATACTGATGTCGCTCTTCTGCGTGCCCTCCTCCTTCATCTCGCAGTACATTCTCAACTACTGGCCCTTCGGCATCGTTCTGTGCCACTTTGTCAACTACTCGCAGGTGGTCTCCGTCCTGGTCAGCGCCTACACCCTGGTCGCCATCAGCATCGATCGCTACATAGCCATCATGTGGCCGCTGCGACCTCGCATCACCAAGCGGTGCGTATATTGATGAGTTGATATATATTTTAATAGAAATTAATTAAATAAATATAGAGGGAGCAGTGGAGGGAAAATATTAAATTTTTTAATTATTAATTATTAATTATTTATTTTAATATTATTTATTAAGATGTACTTCTTAGAATACTGCAAGTGCGGGGTGCTCTGCTTGGCTCTGC